TGACTACAGTTAAAAACCCAGTTGAAGAAGGCCTTAGAAACCATTTTCCATACTTGAACTTCAATTCTTGCCAAATACCCCAACTTCCCCTTCCAATAAAACTTTACATATTCCAGTTCTAAATGTGGATCCATAACTCATTAAGCTTTTCTCAAATGCAGCTTCAATATCCAGACCCAGTCCCATCCTTTAAATTATTTTATGGCCCTAGACACACCCTGTGCCTCAGTATCCTCCATCTTAAAAATGAAATTATTATTGCCTGATTTCTATTATTTTCTTTGGGGGAGGTTTGAAAAACCTTTTGAAGGAATGGCATTGTGTAATGTGTGTGGACAGAAGACAGAAGAAGAGGGTGACACGTTTCTTTGCCTTGACATTCACTTTGGGGTGGGAAGGAGTGTTGTTATGAGTTACTTAGTTATTTGTCAGTTTTAGACCTATGGTGTTCTTACCATCATCATCTCACACAGAAATATATCTGGTGCTGGTTTTAAAGCATGCCACAATTTTTTGACACTTCCCACATTGAGAGTTATGGATCTATGTTCCCTCCCCTTAAATCTGGTCAGGCTCGTGACTGCTTTGTCCAATGGAGTATTGGTCAGAGGTAATGCATGTGACTTCTGGGCCAAAGTCATAAAATACTATACAGCTTTTGCTTTGTTTGTGGGAACACTCATTCTTGGAGCTGAGTTAACATTTAAGAAGTCTGTCTAGTTGGAGGCCGCCATGCTAAAAGGAAGCCAAAACAATATAGAAAAACCATGGATAGATACTCTGGTTAATAGTCTCAGTTTAGCCCAGCCTTTGAGTGATCCCAGCCCTGGTGCTGGACACGTGGCTGAAGAGACTTCCAAATAGTTCCAGCTCCTGGCCATTCAAGTTACTTTAGGTTATTCATGTCTTTCCACCTGAGACCTCAGACATCATAAAGAAGACAACCTCACTGTACACTATGCAAATACCTATCATAATGGGATGGTTAATCACACAGCAATAGAAAACTGAAGCACATCCTTTCCTAGATCACTGTCAAATGATAGTGGAAATGCAGGGCAAACTATTCAAGGACCAATTTAGATAGGTAGTGTGAATGGATATATTGAATGAGGGGCGTGTTTCCCAGTGAAGTCTTCATAAAGGGACATCTAAGACTGCTGAGACATCCCATCTTTCTGAATATAAATCCAGGAGCTGTTGAATGCAGTCTTTTCACATGAGTTGTGGGCAACTCACTTCAGTGTTTATGGGAAGTGAGGCTATTGAAAACAGCACTCTTATTGCCCAACTAGCCTGCCCACTGCACATTGTTCCCATTGTCCTCCCTCACTTCCTTCTTTCCCCTTTACTTGAATGCTTTCCTTCCATCTTTCCCCTTTACTTGAATGCTGATTATGTGCAACCCATTATTTTAGGTTCTGGAGTGTCAAAGATAACTGTGTATTAACAGAGTCTTTTATGCTTATATCTTGGTGCTTTGACATCAGGAGCCTTGCTGACTCTGGAGGGACTGCCCCTCCCAAGTCTAGCCAATCCCTAGAGATAGTGAACAGTGCAACTGCTTGTGCACTTTTCAAATACAAACCCACACCCACAACCACATCCTTTATGGAGCTCTCACATTCTGGGCCACTGTCCACCTGCCCTAATCACCTCAAGGCCAGGTACCAGACAACCAGGGACAATTCCTATACTCCAAAGTCCATCCAAATTATTCAGACTTATTAATCCTAAACTTGCTTCCCCTCCCTGTTCACCTGTCCTTCCTGAGGAAATCACAATGAAGGCTCTTGCTGCTCTGTTGTTCCTTTCCCATGTATACCCCAAAGTGTAGAGTACCTTCTTGGGAACTGTGAGTTACTAGCTTTTCAATGGCAATCATCTCCTGATTTTTTTCTATTAATATACTATATTTCAAAACAGAATGATACTCAATCCTGCCATAAGGGAACTTACAGTTTAGTGGGGAGTGGGAAGCCTTAAAATGGTAGAGCAAGTAACATTCTATTTCATGATCTGAGCCCTACTTATGCAGGTGTGTTCACTTTGTGAAATCTCAGCCAGCAGTCACCATCTGCACACTTCTCTGTAGGCATGTTATACTCCAATGAACATTTTATTAAAAAGCAAAACATAAAATGATGGTAGGTTGAGACCCATCAAGACAATATCATAAGCTAAATAAACAAGATGTATCCTCAGCTTCTCACAACAGAATTGTTGGCTAATTATAGAGTTCTCCATGACAAGATCTATACCAGTATTACCTCATGACGTCGGTCATTATCCTGACACTATTTACCCAGAAATCAGACCTGTGTACAGATAACCTAAGAAAAGACTTGTTCCCATTTATTCCTATTTCCATTTTTTATTATTTAAAGATGACTTCTAGTCAGTTTGCCTTCTTCCTCTTAGGCATTTAGAAAGAATAGGCAATAGGATAAAGAGATAGAAACATATCCCCTTGAACTGTTAGTAATTTGTTGGTTTTTCCATCTAAAGTCTGAAAGTGTAGTGTCTGACTAATTAAATAAAGATCATTTCAGTGCAGAAATCCTACATACATTTTACCTTACAGAAGAAAAACTGGTCATTGTTCATAGTGGAGTAGGAGAAAATTAATGTAGAAAAGGTGTGTTCTTGGCTTGGAACTCTTCCGGCCCTCATTGCTAGGGAGAAGCAAACACAAATCCCAGAATGAGCACTGGCATCTCTCTGCCCAGCCCTCAAGAGTGCACACAACAGGGCAAGCCCTTCATCTCACTGGTCTCATGTGACTCTCCACCCTGTGCATTGGTTAGGTGACTTTCTCAAATGTGTGCAGCCAGTAGAAGCTGATGGGACTGGACTTAGTGTCTTCTGGCTCCAAGTCAGAGTTCTTCTCATCATTCCTTGGGAGACACGAGTAATCAGAGATGAGCCCATTTATGTAGAGAGGGGATTCTGTGCATAGGACATCCCAAGAAAACTTGGGTTTCTGTAGCCCAGTGTTTTGGTACTAGTAAGTCCCTCTTACAAAGGGGTTTTGATATCATCAGGAGGTCTACACTACCCACATTCAGGGACAACACAGGCTAGAAACCCTATTCCTCTTCCTCCTAGTTCCTGTAGAAAAACAGTTTATGATGCAGTGAAGCTCTGTCTATGCCCTGCCTACTTCCACTACGGTAAGCCATCTTAAATCAAGTACATCTTCAATCCATGTTGTGTAGTTTAACCACCCCCCCAACTATTCTAAATTAGAGACCTTGATGAACTTCTCCGAAATGACTATGAAGAGATCCCTCTGGGTTGGAAAAGAGAAGCTCTGAGTGCAGCTTTTGAGAGGGAAGTCAGGGTTTCTTGTTGCTGGACCAGCCTTGAGGAGTTGGAGAAGAGGCAGCTGGCAGGCCTAGGCAGGTCTCCTGGCTCTCTAGCGTGTACCTCACTCATGGCCAACAGGGTTTGCTCATTTGCTTTTCACATTTCCTTGAACTTCAGGCACCCTTTGGATGAGGAAAGGTCCAGTGGAACTTCAAGAGATCAGACTGGAGAGGGTACAAAGACAGAGGGAGACACAGCAGCTGGTTAGAAGCCCTTCTCTCTGGCCTGGGGCTCTGTTGAGGGTAGGGGGAGCTGGAAGCTGACCCTGGGGAGCACAGGGACCAGGGAGCAAAGGCACAAAGGCAAGAGATGCATCTTCAGTCTCTGCTCTGCCACTGGCATGCTGCAGCCTCACCTGCCTCATCAGGGAAAGGGCTTAATAATAGAACTTGGTGGGGCACCTGGGTGGCTCAGCTGGTTAAGTGACCCACTCTTGGTTTCAGCTCAGGTCATGATCTCATGGTTCATGAGATCAAACCCCGTGTTGGGCTCTGTGCTGACAGTGTGGAGCCTGTTTGGGAGTCTATCTCCCTCTCTCTCTGCCCCTCCCCTGCTGGTGCTTTCTCTCTCTCTCTTTCTAAATAAACAAACAAACATTTAAAAAAATAATACAACTTGGGCAGCCTGCTTTGCAGAGTGTTTGTGAGGTGGCCCAAATGAGTCAGCAAGTGACCTTTACAAACACTGTCAATCAAGGACAGATAAATTAGTGTGAGCAAAGATGATGGTGGTGATGATAATTTCAACCCCCAGCCTGGTGTGAGGGACAAAGAGCACCAGCAACACACACACACAAAACCACTGCAGAGATGAAAGCTGGTGGCTGTGGCTTCACCAGCCCAGGGCTATGCTTGGTCCAGGGGCAGAGCTCTGGTGCCAGAGCTGCGGGTCAGAGCAGGGAATGTGTACCTGATCCCCCCACCTTCTCCTTCTCCTAGAGTAACCAAAATTCATAGATTTGGAAGCAATTAAGGAAAACCTGAGGGGAAAGTTTGGAAGGCCCAGCCCAATTAATTTCATTTAAAATGTCATCCATTTATTGTAACATTTCACAATTCTTTAAAGTATAGGAGGTGATTTCACAAATACTATATCAGTAATCCTGATTTGATCCGCATTTTACAGATGAAGAAATCGAGGCTGAGATCAAGTAAATGAATTCTCATGACACAGCTAGTAAGTTGCAGCAATTTACGCTCGGGGTTTCAGACTTTTAGGTTCTGTGTTTCTGGAAACCCAAGTTCAAGGAATTACAGAGCTAAAGAAAGACATGGGAAAGAGGGCAGAGAAAGGGAAAAGGGGAGGGGGGAGGAGAGGATTAAGAAGGGGAAGAAGGGAGGAAGGGAAGCACAGAAGTAGGAAGGGAAAAAGAAAAGGAAAGAAAGAAAGCAAAAGTCTTTTGAGTGAGCAGAGAGCACAGTTCACGCAATACACACAGGAAAAGGAACACTTGGTTTGTGTCCCGACAGGTCTGCTGCGTGGTACTCGCACAGTGTCCACTGTGTCCCTGTGTGTCGTCACACACAGACTGCTGGTGGAACTCTCTGCTCTTCGATTTCTGCTGAAACCCCCATCCCATCCCGTTGTCTCTGCTGGAGGCTCCTTGCAGATTCACTGAGCGGAGCCTCTACCGATGAGCCTCAGCCTCTGGACCAACAACTGGCCTCGCCTTGCCCCCTCCGCCCCCCACCGCGGGCCAGAGCAGGTGTCGGGGATGCCTGGCGGATATAGGGCGCCCGCCTTGGCTCTCCGGCTCAGCCCTCCGAGCCCTGGGCTTTGGCGATGCTTGAGGTCTACACGGAGTTCTGGAGGACCGAAGGTCGCAGTGACCAGAAAGGCAGAGGGGTCACAGGGACCTGCATCCCTTAGCACCGCCTGCACCAGGGCACCTTCCCATAAAGTTACCCAGGTGAATCAATACGTGCGTACAAATTAAGATGTGAAGGTATGGAGCGAACAAAAGAGCTCAGGTTCCCGTGAGCAGATAGCTCACACGCGGAGGGCGGTGCCCGTGCTAGCCATGCGGCAGTTAATGCCCAGGTTCTGGGGAACTTGGTCTCCCGCGCTCCCTCCAGACAAAATGCAAGAAATTAAACGACTGGAAACAACAATCACAACTTGTATCTCTCTGTGCCCGCCCTTACTGTTTTCTCCAATTTTGCCAAAGGTATCAGGAATCCAATTTGACCGCTCTGTGCTACCTGGGGCCCGCGCCTCTTCCTAACCTGGTGCCTGGGCGCTGCCCCACTGCGTGCACGCTCAGCTCCAGCTGTCAGCGCGCCAGAGGCTGGGGGGCGGGAGTGGGAACGCCCTCGGCCGGCAAGGGGGCGCTGTCCACTAGAGGCCGCTGACCCGGCGGAGCACAGTCTGCGCCCAGCAGCGGCTGCGGGCTTACAAAGGGTGGAAGCCTAATTCTTCCAGAGTCCACGACTGCAGCTCAAGTACCCCAGATGAGATCCCTTCTCCTTACCCCCTTTCCCCAACGAGCTGCCCTCCCCGGGCCTGGCGCTGCCCTAGCTCCCCACGGCTCTTAGAGTATTCTGGCCTGGGGATTTTTTCTTGAGGAATTTCTGGCAGAGGGGTCCAACACGGGAAATGACCTAGGCTTACCGGGGTAGGGAAGTCCGCCTAGACCGTGGACACATTCTCTCCGCACCCCGCCTTCTCCCCCGCTCCTTGCTCTGCCTCTGGCGCCAGCCAGCCCCGGTGCTCCACCTTGGGTTCCAGGATGCTCTCCCAGCTGCTGGTCACCCACTTTCCAGCCAGCACCGCGCCCTGCTCCCTTTGCTGACCACACTGGCCGTGAGAGTAGCTGGTGGAGCACATGGGCCTAGCTTGCTGCTCCTGGATTCTGCCCAAAAAGGAGAGGCCCGTTCTGGGATAAAAATTATCCTGGGCTCTATAGATTAAAACCGGGACTTAAACACGGAGAAGTTGCATTTCTCTATCCACTTGCCTTGGGGTTCGTGGGGCCCGTCCAGGAGCACGCGTTGCACATAAGGCACCTGTGAATTCAGTGCTCACTAGGACACTGAATTTGGTCCTAGAATTTACAGGGCTTTACGTCTAGAGTTATATTAACATCAAGCAACATGTAGAACTTAACTTTTCACATATATTATCTCACCAAATCTTCACAACAACCCTGTTAGTTCAAGTCTTATCATCGTTCTCATTTTAGATTTAGGAAAAAAGGCCTAGAGAGATACCTGACTTGCCCAGAGTCACACATTAAGTGATCAAACACTGAATACAGGTCCTGACTCAGACCTCAAGGTCCTCCCACTGTCCTCCCACGACAATGCTACCTCCTTTCAGGGTCACCTCTGCTAAGCCCTGAACAGGGATAGGGCTCTGTAAATATTTGTAGATTGAATTCCAGGATCTGATCAAGCTTTATGATTGCCGCATTTTATACAGTAAGGTGTGTCTAAGCCTTATTTACTCACTCACTTATTCATTCACTTATTCAGCAGTTCCTGAGTGCCTACTGTGTGCGGGAGCTGAAGTAAGAGC